TGTTCAGTGCAGGCGCGTTAACACAAGTGTGTAACACTTACACACACATGCACGAGTCGATACAGCAAATGTGGGTTTCACATCTCGAAGCTTGTGGCTGATATTAGTCGAGCTGCAGATAAACACGTTTGCCTGCATTCGTCACACAAACTGTTACCTACAGCATAAACATGTACACTGTCCCAACAAACGCTTTATTGGTGTCAACTCACAACTGCTGGTCGCTGAAACACTTTTCTTTATTGTGGAGTAAAGGAGGAGGTGGACAGAACGACATGTGGCAAGGGCTTAAAGACAAACATGGCCACCTACAGCTGGACAGTTTAACAAACACGTAAGCACCATGTGATGGGTCAAATGTTCTTATTAACATGTAGCCTGGAGGTGGATACATGATGGAGTCGACAACATCCAGTGACCAGCCTCTTATTTCATGCACGTGTCTTTAATAAGTGAAGTGTGGAGGCTTCATGAAGGAGTCCAGCCTCTGACTGCATGGAGCTGCACGTTTCATGTTAGCTGACGTTTGACATCTGCACAGATGTGCACCCGTTACACAGCTGGAGAAGCTGCTGGAGGTAGCGCGTCCTTTAGTCCCACCAACCGACAGCGCCAGGTGTGTTCTAGATCCAAATCCAAAGTTGGAATTTCCCCGTTTCATCTGGAATATTCCCTCAGCTCGGACTTCCAGCTCGGAGGAGCCTGATCAGCTCCATCTATGACTGTGCTGAAGTGATGCTGTGATGCTAGCAGGGCCCACCTGGAGCTAGCTCACCTGCACCCAGAGGTGTATGAGACCTGACGGGTGTATGAGACCTGACGGGTGTATGAGACCTGACGGGTGTATGAGACCTGACGGGTGTATGCAACGGTACAGAAACAGGTCTTATTGAACATAATCATTAATGAGGTGATGGGTGGTGGCTGCACAGAGAACGAGGGTGTGGCGATGTCTGACAGCTACAGTCAGGACGCCATGAAGACGCCGTCAGCAAACGTAGGACGATCAGACTGTGGCTTGAGATCACCTGACTCTTCCTGCACTTCCTGTCAGCACTCCCATTAACATGGTGAGCAGGTCCATGACGAGGGGGATTGTTGGTTTAAATTAAACCAGTGAATTAAACCATGTGAGGGACAGTCTGTCCAAGGTCATTCTGTGTAATCTCACGCAGCCATTGGCTGCTGCCAACAGTGCTCTCAGCGTACTCGCCCACTTCTGAAAGTGTTCCTGAGTATCCAGAAAACCAAACAGCAGAAAGTTTCTCCTCAGTTTGAAACAAGAACCGAGTTTGTTACGGTCCAGGCTGCAGACGAGGTTATCCAGCTAGCTGTGTAAATCTACCAAACATACTGTAACATCTCCACCTGACACCACGGCTTCTGCCCTCAGATCACAGATCAATACATTTATCAGGAATCCGAGGCTATTGGTTATGGAGGCCAACAATCACGATCTTCTGCCCCTGATGTCCATCGTCTTTCGCTTGTCGCCTTCCTCTGACCGCTTCCTCGTTCTCGTCCTCCTCGTCCTCGTCCTGCACATCCTTTGCTCTTCCTGAGGCAGCGTGTTCACCCTCCTCTTCCTCCAGCGGCTCCAGCGGATTTATCAGTCCGTACAGGAACGTGAAGAACCCGTTTAACCAATCAGAGCCGCCCTCCTCCACTTCTTCTAACCAATCCAGAACCTGGGATTCACCCTGACCATCGCCCTCACTGGACAGGCCTACGCAAATGAGGGGGGGCGGGGAGGATGGAAGGAAAGTTGAGGAGCAAAAGGTGGGAGTGAAGGAGAGAAAGGAAGTGGTGACAAAACTAAGGAAAAGGAGAGCGTGAAACCAAATGAAGGAAACAGATGTGCAGGAGGAAAGAGAGACAACAGGAGAAGGTCAGAGACGTTTGCAGGTTAGACGGGAATCAGACTTTATCAGCAGAGCCAGGCTGTCTGCACACGACTGCAGAACAACACGTCGTCTTTAGACGTGCACGCTTTAAAGATCATGCATGCTCATCGTGTGCAGACAGCCCAGAGCAGGAGAGGGAGCACTGACGCTTCCTGTCACACTGTTGGAAAGCTTCTCTACTGAAGCAGCTTCAGCTGAGCTGTCGCAGTGCTGCATCTCCAACAGCAACACAGTAGCCTGAGACAGGAACTACAGGAAACGATACAAGCACTGAGCAGAGGTCACGTGGAGGTAGACGAACCTGTGAGGCCCAGGACCGTACACGCCCTGCAGCTGCAGCGATCACCTCACACATCTGTCCAAGTATGAACACGCCATCAAAGCTCGTTCACGCGTGAATATGTTTAAAGTGTGTGTCCTCCTCAGCTGCTAACACTGTACACATGTGTACTAATGAGTAGGGATGGGTACCGGTAGGTTCTGACATAAACGGTAGTAACCAGACGGAAAAGCAGCGCACATTTCAGTGCTTTATTTTCCTGAGCTGTGATACACTTTAGATTCTAGCCAATCATTTTACGTTTCCGAGGA